TTTTATTTTCTAGGATTTGGTGTGTGTGTCGGGGGGGTTTTCTGGAGCTAGCGATCGCCTTTGTTTTGTGTGCCTGTGACTCTCTCTCCCCCAGCCTCCCCAATGGAACTAACTTCTCTGCTCAGGGCTGGCTATGCCCAGTGTGGTCCTGGCCTCTCTCTTCTGCAGGATTTAGAGATTCCCGGGACGTAGCACCGATTTCTTGAGTCCAGGTCCCCGTTTCTTGGTTCGTGCCCTTGTCTTGAGAACGTGCACCCACCGCACCTGGGCATTTCCAGACAGCGTTTCCTTCCACTTTCCTGGGAGATCGGTGGTTTGGCTGAGGACAGTGTTCTGGGCGGTGAATTCCTCTTGCCCCGTGGCTTCCCGCTTCCAGTCTTGGGCCGTTAGCTGCCTGCTTCCTCATCCTGTGCTTCACACGTTGGTGGGTGTATTTTCTCTCTCTCTCTGAAAGCGTGTGGGATCCTCTTATTCTCCACATCCTGCACGTCTACAGTGTGGTTTGGTTGGGGTCTATTTCACTTGTTGTGCTGGACTTTCAGTGGACTCTGTTGTGTCTCCCACTCCTCGTAACTTTCTTTTTTTTAAAAAAATATGTTTTTATTGATTTTTAGAGAGAGAGGAAGGGAGAGGGATAGAGATATAGAAAAGTCAGGGAGAGAGGAACGTCTTCAATTGGCTGCCTCCTGCACGCACCTCCACCAGGGATCCAGCCCGCAACCCAGGCGTGTACCCTGACCGGGAATCGAACTGGCCACCTTTTGGTTCCTGGTTGAGGCTCAACTGCTGAGCCTCGCTGGCTGGGCCCCTAGTAACTTTCTTAAAGGGCATCACTGGTGGTTCCTTCCACTTCGTTTTCTCTGTTTTCTCTTTGTGGAAGTCTCCTTTGTCACATATGGGACTTCCTGGATTGATCTATTTTCTTTTGTTTTTTTAAAAGTATTTTTTATTTCAAAGAGGAAAGGAGAGGGAGATAGAAACATCAATGATGAGAGAGAATCACTGATAGGCTGCCTCTTGCATGCCCCCTGCTGGGGATCGAGCCCCCACCCAGCACGTGCCAAACCGTGACCTCCTGGTTCATAGGTTGATGCTCTACTGAGCCACACCGGCTGGGCTAATTTTCTTGTCGACATTTTCCCCCTTTTTGTCTTCTCATTCTACTCTTTCATCCAACCCCTTTGTTGACATTTTAATTTTGATTCGCAGGTTTCTAATTTCCAAGGGCTCCTTCTGCTTCTTTGAGTTTCTTTTCAAAAGGCAAACGGAAACTTGTTTCCTGGCTTCTGTGTCTTCCCTAAGCTCTCCGAGGATCACACACACAGGGCTTTTCTGGAACTGCTTTTTTGTTCTTTATCTCTTTCCTCCAAGTCCCCCCCCCTCCCCCCCCGGGTTCTAGTCTCTTCTTCGTTGGCTGGCATTTATGAGGGGTGTGCCACAGAGCCGACAGGAAGCTCCTTACCATGGGGGTGGCTTCCCTCTGGGTGATGATGGGAGATGGGAGGACTGGCCCCTGTAGGGGACCCCCCAAATGTCGGTCGCATCTGCAGAGTTTTCTCATGGCCTGACAGCCATCGTTCTAGAGGCTGAGACAGGGAAGGCCTTTGGGGTCGCTGTTCCATGTGTGACTTCTCCCTTTAATCGCTGGTTTTCACCCGCATACCCGCCCTCTACCACGCCGGTGTTCTGAGGCTGAGCCTGTCTATGCAGCAAGAGTTAAGCATGCATTTTATGACTGAGTTCTCCCCACAGCTCTGCGGTTGGTGCTGCTAGCTCTAACCCAGTTTCATAGTCTCAAGGAGGTGGAGTGAGCCGTCCTGGCACCCCTTAGCTAAGACATTAAAGGGCCAACCTGGGACCAGGGCCCGGAGGCACCCTCAGTGCATGGAGTGACAACTTTTGGTTCATCTTTGGTTTCTTCCAAGGAAGGTGGTGTTTGCTGACTGAGTAGTGGACAGCTCAGCTTTCCCAGTGAGAGACATAGGGAGACACATGCGTGCCCATGGCACATAACAGGTGATCAACAAACGCGGGTTGAATGAGAAAATGAAAGAACAGCAGTGGAGGAAATAGACACCACAGAAGGAAACCTGTTAAACTTATATCCATGTGCAGGCAAGTACTTGTTAAAGTGAGAAGGCGCAGTCCTGACCTGGGGGTGTGGAGTGGGGCTCCGTTTACAATGAGAGGGAACTGGCAAAGCGCTCATGGAACAGTACCTTCCACATCGACGTTTTAAGTGCCTTCGCGTTCTGCTGGCCATGCCCTTCGACCGAGAAAAAATCCCAACCGGTCAGGAACATTTTGCCGCATTATGATTTGTAATGTTTGAAAATAATCTAAATGTCTGGCAGGAGGGGGATGCTTAAGCACATCAGGAGATGTTCATTTTGTGGAATATGATGCAGTTATTAAAAATTACCTCTCGCCCGGCCAGCGTGGCTCAGTGGTTGAGCGTCGACCTCTGAACCAGGAGATCACGGTTCGATTCCCAGTCAGGGTACGTGCCCGGGTTGCAGGCTCGATCCCCAGGATGGGGTGCACTGGAGGCAGGCGATCAATGATTCTCTCTCATCATTGACGTTTCTATCTCTCTCTCTCTCTTCCTTCTTCTCTGAAATCAATAAAAGAAAAAAAAATTACCTCTCTTCATAATAGCCAAAATAAGTCTGGCTTATTTCACAGATCATAATGTCCTCTAGGTTCATCCACATTGTAGCATGGGTCAGAATTTCCTTCTGTTGGAAGGCTGAAGAATATTCCATTGTCTGGATGGACCACATTTTGTTCATCTGTTCATCTGTCCGTAGACGCATGGGGTGTTTCCACCTCTAAGCTATTGTGAGTAATGCTGCTGTGAACATGGGAGAACAAATACCCGTTTCCCAAAACATTTTCTTTTTCAAAACTTGGGCAGACATAAACAGGGTGCTACCCGCCCTCAACTATCACTCCCCCCACCCCCACAGCCTTTTCCACCTTTAGGAGAAACACGGGTCTCTAGCTTGTCCACTCAGCAGAGCCTTAATTTACTCACCGGATACATCTTCTCAGCCCCGGAAGCCAAACTAACAGGAAATCAAGGAGAAGGTGGAGCCAACGTTATCCCACACAAGCCCCTGGACCCAGCCGAGTCTTGGAGATGCTCCCGTGGCCCATTGAATGGGACCTATTCTGGACCAGGGGACACTGCGTTTCCCGGCTGTCCATTCGTGTTAGTGACTTGGCAGATGAAGCCAAGGGATCTGCCCTTCTTTTTTTTTTCTTCCCTGGACTGCCAGGTTCAGCTCCAGCCCTGCCCACACTCCTCAAGGCATCTCTCCCACACTCGCTGCTGTCTCCTAGCAACTGGCTCTCCCGCCAGCATCCTGCAGCTGAGGTCCTGCGTCACTGTCTCAGGAGGCTTCTCCCCCTCGCAGCAGTCTGGCCTCTCGGGCGCCTGGGCCAGTATCTTCCCGCCGGCCTGTTCTGGAGTCCTCTGGCCAGCGGGAAGAGGGCTGGAGAGGGAAGATCAGGGATGACCCCTCTTTAGGTCTTGCGGGAGCTCTATCACCCAGACGTTTCATCCATCTGGACTGAATACATTGCTAACCGGCTGCTTGATTTTGCTGTCATGTTGCCTAAATTTGCATGTGGGTTGTTTTTTTGGAGTTACTGGTCGGGGGGAGGGGTGATGGTGGAAGATTTCATTTTCTGTCAACAGAATTGGCCTTAAACCACCTGGTGGCAAATATATATCCATCTTCCCCGGGAGCCAGGGATGGGACTGGAGAACAGTGGGCGATGTCGTTTCCAAGAGCTGCCCTTGGCAGTTGGCCACAGCAGCAGAACACAGGGCTTTCCACCAGGTGAGGCTGTGGCTCCTACAGCCACATCCTGGTCCCAAAGACGGACCCACTCTCCCTTCCCTTCATCATACTGCCACTGCCCTCACTGATGTCTCTGGGCCCAGCTGTTACAGTCATTCCTGGGAAAAGACAGAAACAAATGGTGTCTTCCTAACTGCCCGGAGGCAAATTCCTCTTATGAAGAGACCTGTGCTTGGGCATCAGAGCATGACTTCAAGCCTTTAACATATTTATTGAGCTACTACTATGTACTTGGTCTGCTCTAGACCTGTGGGTCCTGTGGTGAGTAAAGTAGATCTATTTCCTGCCCCCAGAGAATTCACATCCTGGGAGGAAGGCAGGTACCAAGTGATTTTAATCAGTTATGTAGCAGGCTGAGGAGGTCAAGGAGGCCTCTCTGAGGAGGCGACATCTGAGCTGAGATCTGAAGGAAGGAAGGTCAGGGGAAGAGCTTGCTATGCAGTGGGAACAGCATGTGCAAAGGCCCTGGGGGCAGGAATAAGATTGGCTGGTCTGATGACAAGCAGAGGCTGGTGGGTCTGAAGTGGAGTTATTGAGGGAGAGTGGCAGATGGGTTCTTGTGGGGGCTTCCCTGGGATTCGGGGTTCTATCCTGAGTGCAATTCTGACTTTTAGCCAGAGCTCCTGCTGATGGAGGGTTGAAGCAGCAGAGTGACAATGTGGATGAAGAGTAGAAGCGGGACTTTCTGATGGTTTGTCCCAGCACAAAGGAACCCAGGACTCCCTGCAGTGGTGGTGGCAGTGAGCCTGGGCCGTGGGGTGAATGCAGAGTCGCTGAACCAGGATTAAAGGGAGAGAGGTGTGTAAGGTGAAGCTCCCCATGTGAGGTAAAGGATGTCTGTGGCTGCGGCCAGGACCAGCAAAGGGGTGTTGTCCGGGTGCCTGTAAGAGGCAGGGAGGGGCGCTCCCTCAGGAAGGGGATGGAGGCGGAAGAGGCAAAAGCAAGCAGCCTGCCCTCCAAGGGAAGTAGGAGCAGTCAGGCCCCGGCCACTTCCTATTTCAGTGGATAATGCGCCTGCTACAACCAGCTAGCAAAGGTGCCAGGGTTCAAAGTCACTGTGCTATGTCTTCTTATTTTTATTTTTTTTTAAATCCTCACCCGAGGGTACTTTCCCATTGATTTTTAGAGTGGAAGAGAGAGGGAAAGACAGAGAGAAACATCAGTGTGAGAAACACATCGATTGGTTGCCTCTTGAACACGCCCTGACCAGGTCCCAGGCCCGAGAGGAGCCTGTAAATGAGGTACGTGCCCTCTACGGGAATTGAACCCGGGACCCTTCGGTCCACAGGCCGATGCTCTATCCACTGAGCCAAACCAGCTTGGGCTGCACTACACCTTCTAAATCTTCTGTGCAGCATTGGGGACACCTTGGGGTGGTGCCCCTCCCAGAGTTCTCATCCCTGGGTGATGCGATTTCAGAGGATCAAAGCACAAGTGTTTTAAATGGAACCCATGGAACATAACTGGAAAGGAGAACATATCTGTCCCATGTGGGGGATGGAGCAGCCACTCAGAGGCAGGTCAGGTCCTGCTGGGGAGGCGGGGCCATCACACAGCCCCTCTCCGCTGAGCTGGCCTGCTTCCTCGGGCCTTCCTCAGCCTCACAGGCCTCAGGAGGCCTCTTCCGGAAGTGGAAGCGCAACCCAGCCTGCTTCTGGGTGGTGGCAGGGGGCCCATGCCCAGGATCTTGTGGATCTGCTGAAATGCCAACATGCCCAGGGCGTGCTGGGGGCAGACAGCCTGGCGGCACCCTCCTGCCTGCGACCGACTCACCCAGCCCCTGGCCCCGCGGCTCGCCAGGCATCCTGCCCTTGCCATCACCCTTCTAGCAACTGCTGAGCTCAGTTACCATCAGGCACGAGGAACTGCACTGGACGCTCAGGCTGCTCAGGGCAGGACTTGCCAGGAAGGCCCTGGGAACACTGCGGGGACCCCAAATCCTGCATCTCCCCGTCTGGCTCTGATCAGAAGCAATTTGAGTTTTTCCATGAAGACAATTCCTAAATGTCAGGCCCGATGGGATTTATGTCGCTGGGGGACTTTCTTACAAACCAAAGGGGAAGCACAGGTGGGGACTTGGCTTTCGTGCTTGAGGCTGGCCAGCCGCAGCGGGGTGTTTACAGAGCACGTGTGTGTGTGTGTGTGTGTGTGTGTGTGTGTGTGTGTGTGTGTGTGTGTGTGTATGTGTGTATATGTGTTGTCCGTGTGCATGTGTGTGTGCATGTGTGTGTATGTGTGTGCGCACGCGTGCGTGTGTGTGTGTGTGTGTGTGTGCGCGCGCGCGCGCGCGCGCGCGCGCGGTGGGAACAGCCAGGTCAGTCCCTGCCAGTGAGGCCCCAGGTCTGCGCCTCGTCACTGTGGTGGCTTCAGCTCTGAGCCAAGCCGCCCAGCCCTCAGAGGCAGTCTTGTCACCCAGGGGCCACTCTCCCACAGGCCCCCCGCCTCTGCAGGGGAGGGAAGTGGAACCCCAGACCATTTCTTGGGAAGTTGCATAGCTGCAACTGGGTCGGGGGGGGGGGGGGGGGGGGGATGCCGCCCACAGCCTGGCTGAGCTGGCCCGGAGCTGGGGAGCCCCAGGGGCTGGCCATCCTACCTGGGCGCTGGCTGTGATGTCTTCCCGCTGCTGGAGGGTCATGGACTCGAGCGCGTCCGTCTGGTCTCTCTCACAGGATCCCCGAGCCCAGGCCCATCTTTGCGAGGGGGTGGGGGTGGAAAGAAGATAGAGCACCCTCGTGAGAGACTGCCACCGCCCGGGCCTGAGGGTCCCAGCACGGGGTGTGTGACTGTACCCTCTGCACCCACGGATCTCCCCTGGAGGCATCTCACCTGGGCCACACCTCCCTCTGACCCCGGAAGTACAGCCAGCAGAACGCCTTCCTGCAGGTGTGTGTGTGTGTGTGTGTGTGTGTGCGAGCGCGCGTGCACGAGCATATAGTCATACAACAGGCTCACACCTCAGGCCAGTGTTTTCTCTCCTTTCACTTCATATGATATCATCCATGTCACTAAAAGGGCTGGAAAACAGCACCTCTGTCTCTGACATCTCATGAGAGCACAGATGCTTCTCTCCCGTTCTGCTTCGGCAAGCCACACTGTGGGGAACATCTCCGCTCGAGCCGGTTATCCGTGTCTGCTGCTTTCCTTCAGAAATACTCCCGCCAAGGCCATCACCTGCGACACCCGGCCTCCCGAAAGGGTGGGCTGCCACCAGAGAGTGGGTGCTCAGCCGACAGACGACAGATGAGGGCAGGACCCTTGCTGCCCCATCTGCCCTGGACCTTGCCCTCCTTTGTGGTGAGAGAGTTCCACCTGCTACTGGGCTGTTCCTTTCCCCTGGGGGTAGAGGGTGGCGTGTCTGAGTCCCTCCTCCCATTTGGGTTGGACGCTGTTCTTGAGTGTTGGCGAGAGGGTCCTGTACCTCACTATGACCCTGTCTCTGCCATGTGCCCAGGATTCTGGGCTCCCCAGCTGACGGGGACTGACCTGTCATGAGTGTCCCTGAGGCCACACACTCCAGGACCCCTCACACGGGGTCCCCGGGGCTCAGGGGCCCCAGGGCACTGCTCAGAGCCTTCTCCACCAGCAGCTCATGGCCTGGGCCAGGCAGGATGGAGAAGGAGACGCTGCCTTTGAGGAGAGCGCGTGGCCAGTTCCCCTCCCACTGGAGGGCTCTGTGGGCTCAGCTGGGGTTTCAGGGACCTCAGGACAGGCAGCCCCTCCCAGCTCTTTCTCTAAATCCCACCCACTCTTGACCTCCTCAGAGTAGGGAGGTGTCACAGAGGCCTCCACACCTCCTGGTGTGGCCAAGGGCAATTTTCTTCACTCTCTAACCCTCAGTTGCCCCATTGGCAAAATCCCATCAATTGTAACATTGCAAACTAGGGGGTCAAGGGTTAAAAGAAACTTGTTCGATGAGGAATCTCAGAGGGAAGAGGGGTAGAGGGTGTGTGTGTGTGTGTGTGTGTGTGTGTCGGGGGTAATCAACCAAAGACCTTGTATGCATATATGCATAACCCCTGGACACAGACAATAGGGTGCTGAAGGCCTGGGGCAGGCTGGAGAGGGTCAATGGGGGGAAAAGGGGGACATATGTAATATTTTCAACAATAAAGAATTATTAAAAAAAAACCCAAAACTTGATCTCTGTGACCTGTGGTACATTTAGCCAGTAGCATGCCAGTTCAAGACAGCGAGGTCAAGGGAGTAAGAAAATACAGTTAGCCTGGCCAGCATGGCTCAGTGGTTGAGTGTCATGGTTCCTAGTCAGGGCACACGCCCAGTTGTGGAGTTGATCCCCAGTGCGGGGTGTGCAGGAGGCAGCAATTGATGATTCTCTCTCATCATCCATGTTTCTATCTCTCTCTCCCTCTCCTTTCCTCTCTAAAATCAATAAAAATATATTTAAAAAAAAGAAAAAGCAGTATAAAAAATAAAAAGAGCCCTAACTGGTTTGGCTCAGCGGATAGAGCATCAGCCTGCGGACTGAAGGGTCCCAGATTCGATTCCGGTCAAGGGCATGTACCTTGGTTGCAGGCACATCCCCAGTGGGGGGCGGGGGGGCGGTGCAGGAGGCAGCTGATCGATGCTTCTCTCTCATAGATATTTCTAACTCTCTATCCCTCTCCCTTCCTCTCTGTGAAAAATCAATAAAATATATTTTTTAAAAATAATTAAAAAAGAAAATACAGTCAAGGGAGGCTGCACTCCAGAGCAGGCCTCTTCCTGGTGCCCAGGGGCCCCTGGGATACCCCTGCCGTGACCTGCCTCTCCTGGGCACGCAGGCTGATGCCAGCCGCTCGGGGGAAAGCCAAGCGCTGGGAGGGGAATCTGCTGTCCAGGAGGAGATAAGGCCCTCGTGGGCTTCCCAGAGCAGGCTGGCTGCCTGGCGCTGCCTTACCCAGTCTGGCAGGGCCCCACAGGTTGGCACACGCTGGAGAGGTCCCCAAAAACCCTGATGACGATTACACAGGGCTGTGGGCCGCCAGCTCGTGCCTTTGGGAGAAGAAGCACACAGTTAGCTCTGGAAACCACATGCACATGGGTGGGTGTGAGGCCAAGGGAACGAGGGTGGACCCTGGGGCGGTGAGCCGGCCAGACTCCTGTCTTGGCAGTGGAGGTTAGGGAGGGTCTCCGGGGGGCACAGTCGGCCTGGAGGGTGGTGGCTGGGAGTGGACTCCACTCCCAAATGGGCACAGGCCAACAGAACTGGCCCTGCTCTGATTCCAACCCATCTGCCACAGTGGCAGGAGACGTGAGCCAAACAGCTAGCCCAGGAGTCGGCTAAGGAGGCAGCGACAGGACAGGCATGTGTGAGCCCCCCAGCCCTCCTCCTAACCTGGAACCACTTCGCATGGTGGAGGGCGGCCAGCGACTGGAGACACTTCCTGGCTCAAGATGTCCCCTGGTCAGGCAAGGCACTTCCATTCCTTCTAGAAGAAATGGGCATGCGAGCGAGGTGCCCTTTCCCGCTTTGCTCCTTCCCTGGGCCACATGGGCCTCGTTTTATTTCCCCAGAAGACACGCGCTTCCTCCCAGATCTCCTTTCCTCTGGGCCCTGCAGGGACAGAGAAATCATTTCTGTGAAATCCTCTCTCCTCTGAAGCCAGTGCCCACCAGGAAGGCCTTTAATGCTTATGATGAGCGCCTCAGGGCTGACTCCTCTGTTAGCAAACTACGGTGCCAACGGGAAACTATAAACTAAGCCAGATTTCCAGAAACTTCCAGCTGCATAATTAAAAGGGAGAAAGTGGGCCCTGGCCAGGTGGCTCAGTTGTAGGAGCATTGTCCCGTATACCAAAAGGTTGTGGGTTCAATCCCTGGTCAGGGCACATACGGGAGGCAACCAATAGATGTTTTTCTCTCACATTGATGTTTCTCTCTCTTTCTCTCTAAACATATCCTTGGGTGAGGATTTTTTTAAAAAGGGGAGATCCAACACACTTTCTTGATAAAAACTCTCAGCAAAGTGGGAATAGAGGGATCATACCTCAACATAATAAAAACCTTATATGACAAACCTACAGCCAACATCATACTCAATGGGCAAAAACTAAACTCATTTCCCCTAAGAACAGGAACAAGACAGGGATGCCCACTTTCACCACTCCTGTTTGACATAGTACTGGAAGTGCTAGCCATAGCAATCAGAGAAGAAAAAGAAATAAGAGGCAACCAAATTGGAAAAGAATAAGTAAAACTGTCCTTATTTGCAGATGACATAATATTATACACAGAAAACCCCAAAGACTCCATCAAAAAACTACTAGACCTAATAAATGAATTTGGCAATGTAGCAGGATACAAAATTAACACCCAGAAATCTATGGCCTTTTTCTACACCAATAATGAACTCACAGAAAGAGAAACGAAAAAAAAAAAAATACCATTTATCATTGCACCAAAAAAACTAAGATACCTAGGAATAAACTTAACTAAGGACATAAAAGACCTGTACTTGGAAAACTACAGGACATTGAAAAAAGAAATAGAGGAAGACATAAACAAATGGAAGAACATACCATGTTCATGAATTGGTAGAATCAATATCATTGAAATGTCTATACTACCCAAAGCAATCTACAGATTCAATGCAATCCCCATTAAAATACCAACGGCATATTTCAAAGATCTAGAACAAACTCTCTAAAAGTTCATCTGGAATAAAAAAAAGACCCCGAATAGCCACAGCAATCCTGAGAAAGAAGAACAAAGTTGGAGGAATCACAATACCTGATATTAAGCTATATTACCAAGCCACAGTTCTCAAAACTGCCTGGTACTGGCACAAGAACAGACATATAGACCAATGGAACAGAACAGAGAACCCAGAAATCTACCCAAGCCATTATGCTCAATTAATATTTGACAAAGGAGGCAAGAGTATACAATGGAGTCAAGACAGTCTCTTCAATAAATGGTGCTGGGAAATTTGGTCAGATACATGCAAAAAAATGAAACTAGATCACCAACTTACACCATACACAAAAACAAACTCAAAATGGCTAAAGGACTTAAATGTAAGACAGGAAACCATAAAAACCCTACAAGACTCCATAGGCAGCAAAATAGCAGACATATGTCATAGCAATATCTTTACAGACACAGCTCCTAGGGCAATGGAGACTAAGGAGAAAATAAACAAATGGGACTACATCAAAATAAAAAGCTTCTGGCCAGGCTGGCATGGCTCAATGGTTGAGTGTTGACCTATGAACCAGGAGGTCAAGGTTCGATTCCCAGCCAGGGCACATGCCCAGGTTGTGGGCTCAATCCCCTGTGTGGGGCGTGCAGGAGGTAGCCGATCAATGATTCTCTCTCATCATTGATGTTTCTATCTCTCTCTCCCTTTCCCTTCCTCTCTAAAATCAATAATAAAAAAATATTTTTAAAAAAGCTTCTGCACAGCAAAAGAAACCATCAACAAAATAAGAAAGCCCACTGCATGAGAGAACATATTCGCCTGATATTTCTGATAAGGGTTTAATCTTTAAAAGTTACAGAGAACTCATACAACTTAACAAAAGGAAGATAAACGATCCAATCAAAAAATGAGCAAAGGATCTAAATAGACACTTTCGAAAGAGGACATACAGAAGACCCAGAGACATATGAAAACATGCTCAAAGTCACTAATCATCTGAGAGATGCAAATCAAAACAACAATGAGGTACCATCTCACACCTGTCAGAATGGCTATCATCAACAAATCAACAAATGACAAGTGCTGGCGAGGATGTGGAGAAAAAGGAACCCTCATGTACTGCTGGTGGGAATGCAGACTGGTGCAGCCACTGTGGAGAACAGTGTGGAGTTTCCTCAAAAAGTTAAAAATGGAACTCCTATTTGACCAAGTAATCCCACTTCTAGGACTATATCCCCAAGAAACCAGAAACACCAACCAGAAAGGATATATACACCCCTATGTTCATAGCAGCACAATTTAGAATAGCTAAGATTTGGAAACAACCTAAGTGCCCATCAGCAGATGAGTGGATTAAAAGACTACGGTGCATCTACACAATGGAATACTATGCCGCTATAAAAAAGCAGGAACTTGAACCATTTGCAACAGCGTGGATGGAACTGGAGAGCATTATGCTAAGCGAAATAAGCCAGTTGGAGAAAGATAAATATCACATGATCTCACTCATATGTGGGATATAATGATCAATATAATTTGATGAACAAGAATAGATCCAGAGACAAATGGCAGGGGAGGGGGAAGGACTTGTATGCATGCATATTAGCATAACCAATGGACACAGACACTGGGGTGGTGGGGGCTTGCCTGGGGTGGGAATGGCTGCGGGGGGGCGGGGGGAGCGGAAATGTCAATTGGGGAAAAAGGAGACGTAAAATTTTAGCCAATAAAAAAATTAATTAATTAATTAAGTGGAGAAAGTGGATCTGATTAGAACACATCCCATCATTGATAACAAAGGCCTCCATGTTTGAGAGAAATTCAGATCCATTTTTTTTTTCCTACTATGGTTACTTCAAGAATATTCTCTTCTCCTTCTAGGACACCCTGGTTTATTTAGGTCACATGACGGAGCACAGGTTTCACTTTCACCCATAAATATCACCACGGGTCCTGTGTGTGTTGCCTCCCTGTCACAGGTTGGGGTGGAAGTGGCAGGGGTGTGTCTTTGAGGAGGGGTTAGAACAGTGATGGTGAACCTATGACACACGTGTCAGAGGTGACACGCGAACTCATTTTTTGGTTGATTTTTCTTTGTTAAATGGCATTTAAATATATAAAATAAATATCAAAAATATAAATCTTTGTTTTACTATGGTTGCAAAGATCAAAAACTTTCTATATGTGACACGGCACCAGAGTTAAGTTAGGGTTTTTCATAATGCTGACACGCTGAGTTCAAAAGGTTCGCCATCATTGGGTTAGAAGCTACCCTCCCCGCAACAGCCAGCCGGGCGTGGAGTGAGGAGACGCCTAAGTGAGGCTGACAGGCTCCTGGGGGTCATGGAAAGTATGTTCGTTACAGAGGGGTTTCCGCATCTTAATCTTTCCGGTCAGCCTCCATCTTGTGACCACAGATGGTTAACACTTTCTAACATTCCCAATCTCCACCTTGTTTGTGTGTTTGAGCACAGCCCAGCAGGGCCTTCAGCTAGAATTTAATGTTGTTCATCACCCCCTGGATTGATTTTTAGACAACTCTCCATTTATGACAATAAATAATGGCTTCCCACTTACAGTCATAGGTTCTCCTCTTTAAAAATGTGTTGCCCTGGCCAGTTTGGCTCAGTGGAGAGCATCCGCCTGCGGATTGAAGGGTCCCAGGTTTGATTTCAGTCAAGGGCACATGCCTGGATTTCGGACTTGATCCCCAGTAGGAGGCATGCAGGAGGCAGCTCTCTCATCATTGATGTTTGTCTCTCTCTCTCCCTCTCCCTTCCTCTCTGAAATCATTAAAAATATATTTTAAAAAAAAATTGTGTTAAAAGTGAATTGATTTAAAGAAAAATGTTGGTAGTAAACAACAATCATGAAGAGGGTTCAAGAATGGATGGAATTTGGAAAATGGTCCTGGGGGCTGTTCCAGGAGGTTCCAGGCTCGATGAGCCTCAGGGTGCTTCCCTGTCACGGCCTTCACCGGTGGCCGTGACTCAAGGCCCTGGCTGCCCTCTGGCCTGGCGCAACACCCCTCCCACTCTCTTGAGCAATGCCAATGTGACTCAAGCTCCGACGCTCATGTCCCGCACGAGCAGTGCTGGGGCAGCAGGTTCTGCTGTGACCTCTGCTGTGGCCTCTGCTGCGGGCAGATGGACAATCTGAGCTCCTGGGACCTGGCACAACTGGTTTCCACTGGGCAGGTGTCCGCACTGGATTGGAGGCAAGGGAGGAGCATGGTGCTGCACGAGCAAGGCCCAGGAGCACACCACAGCCTGGTTCTGAGCCCGCCTGACACTGTCACTAGCTCATTTCCTCCGCTGCCCTGAGGCCCAGCTCTTATCTGAGCAGTGGCATCCGGGGCTGACAGAAGCGCCAGAAGGCTGCACCCCAACCCTCTTCCTCTGCCCAGAGCAGAGTCAGACACTTCCCTAAGCCACCTGGTGTGTGGGAGGGGGCTGGACAGAAGGGCCTGGCTGCACCTCTGTCCATAGATGGATCCTCCGGCATTAGGGGCAAGGTGACAGAGACAGTGACCCGTATTCTGGGCTCCTCACAGGATGAGATGATGATGTTGGCTTCAGGACCAGAGGAGACCTCTACTTGTCCTCCGTTACCATCTGTGAGGTGCAAACACAACACTAGGCTGAGTCACTCCAGCCGAGAGACGGCTGCAAGCAGCAAGGACATGGTCAGGTGGCAGGCCCTGTGCTGGGCGCCTGGAGCCTCCATGGGGCTGAGACATAGCCCGCCCTCCAGCAGTACACACACAGACGAACCCTGCAAATAAGGTGCCTTCACATGTAAAAAATGCCCTTAATAATGACAGCAATCCAATAAACTTTTAAAAAGCAACAGCTGGCCACTGATATCACAGATAGTTGGAAGGAAAGGAAACAGGAGTGTCCCTTTTTACACCATGACACAGATGACCCCCACGTAAGAGAGAAGCCCATTAAAACTATAATGAGGCACCATCATCACCTGTGAGAAGTCTGAGGGGCGCTGACCTGGCAACACTTACCAGGAGCTCCAGGCTTGTGCCTCTGACCCACTGACCCTGCCGTCGGCTGAGCTCTCACGTGTGTGGAGCGGCGTGTACAAGGCCATTGACTTTGTGCAGCCTCAATGGTAATGCAGGACCCTGGGAACAGCCTAAATGTCCTCGGTCAGGACACGTGCCTCCCCCTGCCTGTTGGCCATGGCTCCCTCCCTCCACCTGGCATCAGGCTTTCATTTCCTCACAGCCGATAAACTACAGTTAGGTGCTAGGTGTCTATCTGGTCCTGGCCAGCGTGCTCGCTAAGCCAGCAGGAGGCGCGAGGCAGCATTTTCGCAGGAACAGTGCCCGACACAGCAGGAAGAGCCCGCCTGGGACTGACGGTTTTACCTAAGATGATCGATGCCAATCATGACCTGATCTTGCTCTCCCCAGTGGTCCTGAGAAATGGACTCCGACTAGGGCAGGAGCTGCTCGAGCGGAGAACCCGGTCCATCTCCCACAGGCCTCCCGGCTCGGCTCCTTCCTTTGCTCTCCCCGGAATCTCAGTCAGCGAGGCAGCAAACGTGCCCGTGCGTCACCATGTGCCCTCCCCGTGGCCGGTCACCGCTCCCGTGGCGGGACATTTACATTTTCCCTGAACTCGCTTTACACGGAACCCTCAAGTTTCTACCTCTTTCTCCTTGCAACTGTTTATACAAACAAACTGATTGTATCTAATAATGACCACTCTTGTTTCTTAAAATCCTGTGGAAACAAAGTCATGGCTGCCAGGGAGCCTGAGGGGCTGGCAGCACCCCCCACCCCCACACACCCCACACACCCCCAGAGGTGACCTGCCCTTACCAGGAGCTGCCGGGGCAGCTGCTCCGTGACCCTCTGCAGCAGGCATGGGTGGGCTTCTGGGAGCAGAGCAGGATTAGCTGCACTGTCCTGTCTCCCTGAAGGAGGAGGCCTTTGGCCAGGAGGCCGACCTGCATCACGCCTTTCAGGATCCGAGCAGAGGGGCCGATACCGCTGTGAAGACAAATAAAAATGCACGTGTAAGAAGAAGGGTTGGGGAGAAAGGGAGCATGTGGCCCTGCCCTGGGTCAACAGCTTGCTGGGCCCTTTGTGCCTCAGCTTCCTCATCTGTGAAATAGGCCTTTCTGAGTCCCGTTTCTCAGAGTGCACTTGACGAAAGGAGACATGAGAAGCTGTACCTGGGAACAGCACTGGGAACCAAAATGTTTACTCTCTTTGAATAAAGGCAGTGTTTATTAAAATACATTTCATTTTCAAAATTGAGCTCTCAGCTGTTAAAGTGTGTGTATATATATTTTGGGGACACCCTGTATGTGCTCAGTAAGGGCTGGTGGTGGTTACTATTTTCTGATAAACTGCATTCTGAAAAAGGCCAATGATGGCAACCCCAGTGACCCCTGGTCCTCAGCCAGTTGGTGCCACCTTGGTCAGCCCTTGGGTTTGGGCACCTTCTAAGCCATCTCTAGTGTCACTTCACTCCCATCTCAACCCTTGGCGAGCAGGCCCATCCAGGTGCGCAGGCCACAGCGCCCTGAGGGAGATGCCTGCCCAGCCTCGCTCTCTGCAGATCAGGCCGGCTTCCTGCAGTGTGAACGTGACTGGCACGTCTGCCCTACATCTAACCTCCCGGCACTGGCCCTCTGCAGGACAGGACACCCGTGCTTATGCCCTGGCCTGAAGCCCCCGGCCTGACCCGCTGGGCTCCATGCCACCATCCTCTCCCACCACTTCCTCTCAGGCCTTATGAGATTTTCTAGCCCAGCGATTTTCAACCTTTTTCATCTCATGGCACACATAAACTAATACTAAAATTCTGTGGCACTCTAAAAAATATATATTTTTTTGCTGATCTGACCAAAAAAGGTATAATTTTGATTTACAAAAAAATAAATAGTAGTAATTACCTACCCTTTTTGTTCCAGATGACTTTTTAAAAAACCAAGTGCCTATACTTGTAATATAAGGATTTCTGGTTAATTTCCAAAAATTAACCAATCGCCCTGGCCAGGTGGTTCAGTTGGTTGAAGCATCGTCCCTTACACCAAAAAGTTGTAGGTTCAATTCCCGGTCAGGGCGCATTCCTGGGTTGGGGCAGGTACGGGAATCAATGTTTCTCTCTTTCTTTCCCCCCTTCTTTCTCTCTCTTTAAAATCGATTAAAAAAAAAAATCGATTAAAAAAACACAACATATCCTTAATTATAAACAAAACAAAGTTAACCAATCAGATACAGCCTTATTATTCACGTGATCAATAAGATACAACTCTATTATATGATCTAGAGTTAAGGTTAAAGACAGGGCATTTACACCCGATGGGCTATTGTTGTGTTGGCTGTTGTCATTTTTTTGTTTGACAACCTAAGGGAAAAGAGGCCAGTGCCCTGACTAAACAGTCAGGTAGTGTGGCGCACTGGCTGAAACTGCTGCTCTAGCCCCAGCCCCTTCCTGTTTCTCCGCAGCCCACTAGGTTCTTCCTCTGCTCCAGTTCCCAGGCCTGGTGCCTGGGGCGCTCTCTCGTGATGGATCTCTAGACAAATGTCCCATCTCTGCTCCAGAAGCTGCCACTAAGCACCACTTGGTTTTCTTTGTGACATTTCTAGGGATAGGAGACAACCTTTTCATTAAAAAATGTGTTAATATAGTCTTATCCATTTGGGGACTACAGAGCCCTCTGGCAAAATCTAGACCAGGGACGTCTGGATTAGGGAACAGGACCAGACTCTGCAACTGAGACTCAGAAAGCAGAGAAAGCAGAACACGGGGCGGGGATATGTATGTGTGTGTGTGTGGGTTGGGGGGATGTGCTACAGATATGTGACTTAGAGGTTTGTCAACAAATTTGAATCCCAATTCACACAAGCTAGAGAACAAAGAAACAAACCCCAGAAAACAAACAAAAAACACATGTTATGATATCTATGGGACGAGTGGAAATTTCAACATTGACTGGATATCTGATGATGTTAAAGAATTACTGTTAATTTTTGCCCTGGCAGGTGTGTTCAATGGTTAGAGTGTCGGCCTGTGCTCCAAGGGGTCTCAGGTTTGATCCCCGGTCAAGGGCATGTACCTGGGTTATGGGTTCAATCCACAGCCCCTAGTGCAGGGGTGGGCAAACTTTTTGATTCGAGGGCCTCAATGGGTTCTTAAACTGGACCAGAGGGCCGGAACAAAAGCATGGAAGGAGTGTTTGTGTGAACTAATATAAATTCAAAGTAAACATCATTACATAAAAGGGTACGGTCTTTTTTTTTTTTTAGTTTTATTCATTTCAAACAGTCCGGCCAGCGGGCCGTAGTTTGCCCACGGCTGCCCTAGTACCTGGTAGGAGGCAACCAATCAATGTGTCTCTCTCACAATGATGTCTCTCTTTCTCTCTCTCCCACTTCCCCCTCCCTTTTCACTCTCTTTAAGAAGCAATGGAAAAAATATCCTCAGGTGAGGATTACAAAAAAAGAATTACTGTTGATTTTTAAACTTCAAATCATTAAGTGAGGGGGGATTTTGTCCAGAAAATGAGTGGAGATTTAAGAGGCTGGCACCCTTTCTGTCTGCAATACAGACGCCCCTGGGCACCTTCCAGGCACCAGCCCATCCACACAGGCCCAGAGGGCAGACCTGGCCTTGGGAGTGGGGCTGCGGGTACTCTTTTCCGGGTTTGCGCACAAGCACAAAGCCCCAGGCAAGCCTCAGCGTTAGACTGGCTCTACCCTTCAAAGACACACCCGCCCCCTCAGATTCTGCGGTCTTGTGTTTTGGCTTCATGAGGGTGCCAAGGGAAAGATGAAAAAAATGTCTTCTTTGCACTCCTGTCTTCCCTACCAGGAGGGTGAAGAAGGCTGACTTTCCCAAGTAGAGGCAATGTATTGGGGGGTTCGCATGCTTAAGCTGAGGGGTGAGGTCTTTTTATGGTGACACTGTAACTCACAGTGGGAGCAAACACTGTAGTGAAGAGAAACTAAAGTGGAATCAGCGAGACACAGAAGGACACGTACTGCATAATTCCACCTACATGAATGTCCAGAAAGAGGAAGTGCGAAGAGGGTGCCAGGGGTTGGGGCAGGGGGGCAGGGAATTTAATGGGAACAGATTTCTGTTTTAGATGATGAAAAAATTCTAAAATAGATAAGTGGTGGGTGATGGTTGCACAACCTTGTGAATGTACTTAGCACCATTGTATTGTACACATAAAAATGGTTAACATGGTAAACTTCATGTTCTGAGTATTTTACCACAATTAAAAAAATGAAAATGAAAAAGCCACCTAGAGAGAAAGGACCTGGAAAGCTAACTCCCTCTCGGATTATTTTAATTGTATAACGACTCCACACAGGGCACAGGGCCATTCTGCCTCCCCCTCACCCCGGGGCCTTGAACAGTGACTCAGCTGGGCACCAAGGGGCAGCCTCTGCTCCAGGAGGCGGAGGGGTCAGGGCAGAACCACACTTATCCTCGTTTCATAGATGAGCAAACAGAGGTGGTTCATGTTTTGTGAACTGTTTCTAGATGCACCTTTAATGGGAAAAGTAAATTCTGGCCTCGAACAACAGCTCTCCAACTGCGACTGTAACTCCCTCTGAGCCTTGGGCTCCAGCCCTGAGACCAGAGACTCAGTGAACTTACTGCCACGGCCTGGAAAGCCCCTGCTACGCAGAGGCTCAAAGCCATTCAGAGGAAGAGCCACCTCTGCCCCTCCTGGCAGCCACTTCCTGTGAGAACTCTCACCTCCTCCAAGTCACCCCTGGGCCTGGGAAAATGAGGTGACCTCCATTACCTGCGATCACCCCCTCCTGCTCTCTGCCCCTGCCCTTCTCCGCCCCTGTGTCGAACACCAGCTTGAGGGCACACTCCGAGTGAGCACAGCCTTCTGGGCAGCCCGGAGCGCCTCCTCTGTGGGCTAGATGGGGGCGTGCTTGCACCAGACGCGGCGGTCATCACTGGATTCCGGCCGGCGTGTGGGCTGTGAGGAAAGGTGCACGTCACGTTGGCTGAGAGGCCCCAGGCCCCGTGGGCAGCGACAGGAGGCATGTCAGCTCTGCAGAGGTGCAGCACTCGCAGCAGCAGGACATGGGGGAGTGGAGCTGAGGAATGACGGGGACCCCACAGGTGGTGACCCAGTGAGGACACCAGGGCCTCTCCCCTGCTGGCTACAGGGAGCTCAGGGCTGAGGGGGAGGTAGAGGGCTCCCCTATAGCGACACTCCAAGCAAGAGGCTTTTCTGCCAATTCAGTGGGCCTATTCCCGAAGCAAGGTGCAAATCAAAGGTTCCCATCCAACCACAGCCAGCGCAGACAGACAGACACCTGAGGACCCCCAAGAGATATGATAACCAGGGCCTCGGGAAACTAAAGGGATCACTGAGCCTTCCTGGGTGGCCCAGAGGAGTGACAGCACAGCCTTCAAGGCCAGCGTGCTGGCTTCCTGTCTGCTGAGCTATTCGAAAGGGCGGCTTTCAGAGGAGCCAACATGCCCTCCCATGCTGAGCTCACCTCTACCACCATCTGGTGCCCTTTCTCCTCCTACAGCTCAGCCACCTCTGGCACATGCCCTGCCCTGTGGCGCTCCCGCCTTTGCCCTGTCTCGATTTCTGCCCATCATGCGCCCTTATCTTTTTGTTGCGGCTTTTATGGGCCTCATCTCCTTAACTGTTAAATGACCAGGTCTGAAGTGCAGAAGTCCTATCTGATGTGGTCATTTTGCATGGGACAAAACAAGATGCTGAACTGGCTGAACAAAAACACAAAAATGAAAAGAAATGCTGCTGGTGCACTTCCTTTTAGCCACATGCAGTCTTTGGATGAAGTCAGGGAGGCTGGGAACTGTGGAAGTGGCTGGAAGAAGCGTCAGAATTTGAGTTCTAGAAAGCTGTTCAAGACAGGCCTGTGGGGCCACTGCTCAGGCTCTGGGCGACGGCCAAGGAGAGCGCACGCTAGCTCCTAATGCCCCGGAATCACATGCCTTGGGGTGACCTGGCTTTCTAGGGCACCAATTCCTTTTCCCACCCTCCTTCCCACAGCAAAAGGGGCTGCTCAGCAAGAAATGCCGCTGCCTCCCTTGGCCTTCCTTCCAAGACCTGAAACCCAGTGTGTGCACCTTCCAGCAAGCTCCGGATGACTCACTGAGGTCTGCCAAGGATGTGTGTGCAAATGTGAGATGGAGAACTGGCTGAGGTCATGAAACCTGGCCCTGAAAGGCCCACCTGAACCCAGAGATGGAGCAGGGCGCACAACGATGGCCGAGGTTACCCCGGGCATGTAGCCTGGGCCCACTGGCTGTGAGTCACAGCCCCTTCCAGAGGCCTCCAGAGCCTCCTTGGGTGGGCAGCTGTCCTGGCCTCTCTGACTTGTGTGCCAGTTTCCCCTCAAGGGTCTGCAGCCACTGCCGTGGCTCGCGAGGCCCTGAAAGAGCTGTGTCATACAACCTGCTCCGGCCAGAAACCAGGTGGACCTGCTTCCGGTGGCCAGTGTGAAGGAGAGAATGCAATGCAAACCCAGGCTCCCGCAGCCCCTCCACCCCCGTGTGACACTGGCCAGTTGGATACAGGGCCCTGCGAGGCCATTTCCTGTCGGCTTGGGTCATAGCTGAGAGAACAAGGACCACAGTGCTTGGTGCCAACCTGAATGCAACTATGGAGGGGCCCTGGCTACAGGCCCCCGGCTGAGGAAACCCCCACAACAGCCGTTAGGTAATCAACAATGAGACATCAGGTGGCCCAAGGGGCATAGGTAACCTGGCCCCATTAGACAAATCCAGCGAGTCTCTGGAGTTTGTTGTCAAAACTGCTTTATGCTCTTATCTTCAGTATCATGTGATTATTCGAAACACAGTGCTACAGATGCTAAAAATAAAATAAGCCCCCTTCCCATCCCATGGGAGCAAAGAGCAGCGATGGTCGGAGACCTGGGTTCGAGTTCTGCCTCCACTACTTTTGGGAGGCCTGAGCCAGGTACTTCCCCTCGCCTCACCTCAGTTTTTCCATCTGCAAATTGGGACCAATGACAAAGTCTAGGTTAAACAGTCATAATGGATACATCAGGCAATGCACGTGGAGCGGTTATGCAGTGCCTGACGTACAATCCTGGTTATGAACCACTCAGTCTGCATCCCGTGGCAGCCGTCACTTCCCTCAAGTATCTGTTGGTGTGTCCCACCCCCGAGGGAAGCAGGACCAGAGGTGGGGCTTCGAGGAGCCCACCTTAATCTCCTAGCACCCACATAAGTGTGAGAGCCCAGTGTGTTCACTGTGAGCACTGGGGTGTGCATGGGGCTACTCCCAGCATGTGGGAGGTGGCAGCCCAGGGAATTCTCCAGGTCTAGGGTGGGGCTTCAGAGAACCTCCAGCACCTGGGTTTATCCCAGGCTCCATGGGAAGAAATGGTGCTGCCATCCCATTGGTTCTATCAAGGTTTCAGGGAGAGACAACACACATACATGTGCCCTCGTGCCCCATGTAATCCACCCGTGGCCCTGCCTAAACAGCCATGCAGCAGAGGCGCACCTCAACTAGCCGTGTCTGCCTGGGCCCTCACTGCTCCGGGAGGGGCCGCTGACTGCCTTCCCTACCCAGAGTTAAGAGAAGCCCCCTCACCTTGGGGTTTAAGACGAGGTTTCTAAGGCCAACAGTCAGTGCTGTGCTGCTCTCATTTCTTCCACTCAAACACCAGTAGGGCAATCTTAAGGCACTTCTGATGCACACATGACGTTGTAAGTTTAATAACAGGCCTCTCTTGGGCAGGCTCCAACCCGGACCTCTGGCTGGCCACAGGGAACAAGGGAGGGGAGGCATTAGGCATGGGTGGCTGACCTGGGCACCAGCACAGCTGATCTTGCAGATGTCACAGTAGTGAAGCGGGGGGTGCCTGGGCCAACCCTTGGGTTTCAGCAGCCTGGTGGGAACCGGTGGCTTCTTCAGGAAGCTGCTGGAAGAAGTGACACTGGAGCTGTTCCCTGAGCCACCCCACAGGGACAAGTCCTCAGGCTTTGGGAGTGGAGGTGGTGGAGGTTGCAACTGTGGGGGGAGCAGTGGAGCATCGTAAGGACGGGCTGCTGACATGTCACAGCTTGGGTAGCTTAGTCCTAAGAAGCAGAGAAAAGAAAGAGAGGAAAATGAGTTGGTTTCCAGGACTATGTTCATTTCTGCTGCAAATTGAGTAACAGGCTTCACCCACTTTCATGCTCAAGGAAACCACCATCTCACCTGAGAACAGGGTGGAGGCAAAGCTATAGGAGGTTGAGGATGAGGAAGGCAGGGTGGACACAAAGATGGAGGCCTGGATGCTGGATGCTGAGGGTTAGGTGTAACTGGAGGATGGGCCGCTGGCTGGCTGTGCCTCCTAGTAGTGGGTGCCACTGTGGGGGCTGCACTTGGCTGTACCCATCGCTGGGCTGACAATTAGCTCCTTTGGCCCCTGGAGAGCAAGCAGAGACCCTCTAAAGAACCACACTTTACCCCAGGGATCGAGAGCGAGAGCCACATTCCCTATGACCACCTCAACCAGCCTCCCCAGCTACCAGAGCAAACACAGCCGCCCGCTGAGGATGAGCCACAGGCACAACTGGCCAAGGCCCGCTGGATGTCTAAGTCTCAGCTGAAGCCTGGAGCCCTGGGCCTGCGGTCCCGAGCTCTGATCCCGGCTGGGACTCATGTGTGACCTGTGCCCACCACTCCTTTCCAGACTCTTCTTCCTCCTCCGTGTCATGGGTATGAAGGGGAAGCATGTGTATCTCTTCCACTTCTCAGATCCAAGTCCTCACAGAACTTACCCCTTCCACTCTGGAAAAGCTTCCTTGGAAAACACGTTCAGCTCCATTTTTCGTTCTCTCTGTCTTTCTTTCTCTGTCTCTGTCTCTCTCTGTCTGTCTCTCTCTCTGATACACACACACACACACACACACACACACACACACACACACCCCTATTTGAAAAGATAGCCCTGACACTCACATTATTTACTCCTGACTTTCCTATGAATCTGGAATGTTTAAATGTGACTTTAATGTGGTGACTCCAGGCCCTCACTCCCACCCTCTGACCCTGCAGAGACCCACTGGCTGGCAGAGTGTGGCCATGGCAGGGAGCTAAAGCTGGCCCACAGCTACTGATGCTGTCAATGGTCAATAGCCATAACTGTCCTGCAAGAGGGTTTCCACGGGAGAGACCCTAAGAGCAGGGAGAAAGGGTGAGGTGTGTCCTCACTTGCCCACACAGGGGCAGGGGTCTCCCAAGGGTCTGGGTTCCAGGGCACCAGGGAGCATGGCTGGATTTTGGTTTAGAGGGGGATTCAGGCTGTGGGTGGATCAGGGACTCCATGGAGGCAATGACAAAAGCACAGAGGCCAGGAGGCCTTGAGAGGGGACAGAACTGTGGGAGGGTGGGTCTGGAGGGAGAAGTCGAAGGCCTTGGAGAAGCAATGACAAGAGAGGGAGGGTGAGAGGGAACAGAGCCAAATTGTGAAGCTTGGCTAATCAGGTGGCCTGTGGTGCCATGTACTGACCAGCCAGGGACAGCCTGTGGGTGGCAAAGGCTGGAGGGGTGCGGGGTGGACCACGTGCAGCCTGGGTGCTTGGCAATTCCCAGTAGAAATGCAGCGGACAGATCTGTGGCCCAGAACTCCAAGGTGGGGAAAGTGGCATTATCCACACGGGAAGGGCCCAACCAGGACAAGCCCATCCCCAGTCACCTCTATGGACGGGACAGGAGCATGAGGGTAAAGGCGTGTCCTGGACTGTCTGCTAGCACCGGCTGCCCACATGCCTCTTCCCCTCAATACCATCCATGCTTTCAAGGAAGGACTGTTGCTGGTCGGAGAAAGGCAGGCTGACACCTGGTAGGAGGGAGCAGTGGTGGGTGTGGGGCAGACTCCAGGGATCTGCTGTCATAATCGAAGTCCTGGTTGGAATGGGGCTGGCGCCCGTCATACCCTGCTGGGCCACCGGACCTGGGTGGCTGGGTGGCCATGGAGGAAAATGGCAGGGTCACGGCAGGGCTCATTCCAGGCGTGAGCTGGGCAGTGAAGCTGGCTCCAGCAGCAGGGAGGTGGAAAGCCCTGGGAGGCTGAGTGCTAGAACCACAACCAACACGAAAGCCCAGCTGCGGTAGATGGGGCTCTATGTAGAACTTGAGCACATAAACCACAGGAGACACTACCGTCAGCTGCTTCAGATGCCTACATTCATACAGTACCTTCTTTTTGTTGTTTTGTTAATCCTCATTGAGGATTTTTCCTCCCATTGCTTTTCAGAGAGAGTGGAAGGGAGGAGGGTAGAGGAGAGAGACAGAGAGAGAGGAACATCAATGTGAGAGAGACATATCAACTGGTTGCCTCCCGCACGCACCCCAACTGGGAGTGGGAGTGAATCGCAACCCAGGTACGTGCCTTTGACAGGGAATAGAACTCCAGACCCTTCAGTGCAAGGGCCGATGCTCTAACCACTGAGCCACCGTCCAGGGCCATACAGTACCTTCTGCAGCTACTAACACCTGTAGAGACCTTTCAATGAGCACAGGCACAGTGATAAGTTCTCTTCATTAACAAACACAATCTCATGACAACCCTGTGAGGCAGAGACCATTGCTGCCCCCATTTCACGGAAGAGGAACCTGAGGCACGGTATGTGGCTCAACCACATGGGTGGTATTCTTTTTTTTTTTCAACATCAAGATTCCTCAAAGAAAGTTGAACTTTAACAGTATTTTTAAGCCAAAAAACAAGTGGATGACCTGATTATTAAAATACAGAAGACTGGCCTGGCCGGTGTGGCTCAATGGCTGAGCGTCAACCCATGAACCAGGAGGTCAAGGTTTGATTCCAGGTCAGGGCACATGCCCAGGTTCAGGTTTGACCCCAGGAGGGGGTGTGAAGGAGGCAATCAGTCAATGATTATCTCTCATCATAGATGTTTTTATCTCTCTCTCCTTCTCCCTTCCTCTCTGAAATCAATAAAAAATATATATATTTTTTAAATATGGAAGACTGGTTACCACTAAACTAAAAACTTTACTAAGGAGAATCAGCTTTTATTGGTGGCTTGCTCGGTGGGAAGCCCAGCTCTGAGGCTTTATCTACATCACCTCATTCATGCCTTACCACCTGTAGAGAAGGTGCCGGCACCATCCATCGTCCATCTGTCCTCATTGTCGAGCTGAGGAAACTCTCTGAGGATTCAGGCCCAGATCTTTCTGACCCCAGCCACCCATGCTCTGTTAAATATCAGCCACTGGTAGATAGTACTCAATTTTAAAAGCCCATTTGTCAGAGAGGGTATTATCAAAGACTGTAGCCCAATACCAATAAGGATCATGTAAGAAAATTCTGAAACATATACCCCTTGGATAAGGGGGTGGGGGGGTTCAACTGTACTGTATTTAATTTTATGCCAGCTTGATTTATAATGTTAAAATATTTAGGCATATAGTATACTAGAGGCCCAGTGCACAAATTTCATTCACTGAAGGGGGTGTCCCTCAGCCCGGCCTGCACCCTCTCGCACTCTGGGACCCCTCACTCCTTACTGCCTGCCTGGTCACTGCTCCTTAGTGCTGCTGTGGAGGCAGGAGAGGCTCCCGCCACTGCCGCTGTGCTCACCAGCCATGAGCCAGGCTTCTGGCTGAGCAGCACTCCCCCTGTAGGAGTGCACTGACCACCAGGGGGCAGCTCCTGCATTGAGCATCTGCCCCCTGGTGATCAGTGTGCATCATAGCGACCTATTGTTCAGCTGGTCATTCCACTGTTTGGTCGATTTGCATATTAGAGTTTTATTATATAGGATAGACTTCCATTTGTACTTTTGCCCTAAGCCTCCCAAACTAAAAGGCTGATAATTCGTTTGAATGTATCACAATTCATTTGCCTAGTGTCCTAATGGTAGACATTTACTAGTATATATTAGTTATCTATTGCTGAGTTAAAAATTATCACCAGTAATGTGACTTCAAACAATAACTTACCATCTGCCTCAGCTGGTGTGGCTCAGTGGTTGAGCGTCAACCTATGAACCAGGAGGTCACGTTCAATTCCCGGTCAGGGCACATGCCCAGGTTGTGGGCTCCATCCCCAGTGTAGGTGTGCAGGAGGCACCAATCAATGATCCTCTCTCATCATTGATGTTTCTATCTCTCTCTCCCTCTCCCTTCCTCTCTGAAATCAATAAAAATATATTAAAAATAATAATAACCATTTATCATCTTCACAGTTTCTATAAGTCAGGGTTCAGAGTGGCAAGGCTCTGGCTCAGGGTCCTTATGAGACTGCAATCAAGCCGTCGGCTGGGCTCTATTATCTGAAGTCTTGACGGGGTGGTGGGATGTGCTTCCAAGACATTCTTCCTCCAGCCAGAGCGCACCAGGTAGAAGGTGTCCTTGTTATGACCAGCCTCAGACATCACACGGCATAACTTCTGCCACTTTCTGTTAGTTAGACGTGAATCACTAAATCTAACCCACTCTCAAGGGGAGAGGATTCGGCCCCACCTTTTGAAGGGAGGAGTATCAAAGAATCTGTGGACTGATTTTTTTTTTTCTTTGTGTGGACTGATTTTTAAACCACTACACATTATTTGCCATTTTTCTGCTGTTGAAGCAATCCTGCAAGTTATGTTCTATGCAAGTTCTATGTGTGCCTTCTTGTGCCAGCTTCCCTCATGGCTTCTTGTCCAGCCTGGGTCCCACACCACCCACTCCAAATGGGCACAGTCGAGAGGAATGGGGTCGAGCTGGCTGGATTGACCCTCTCCTGAGTCACACGGGAGAGGCGTGTGACTGTCAAGGGAAGGGATGGACATTGGGAGGACATGAAAGGCCATGCCATTGCAGCCACCGGAAGGCTCAACGAGGGGGTCTGATTTGCCCAGGCTGCAAGGGCAGGGACACCCAGTCCAAGCATGAGTACATGGAGCTCCCTGGACTGAGGCCTGCTGCCGCTGCTGCATAAGCCACCAGAACTGCACAGTGACGCTGAGCAGCCAGCTCTGTGGAGGCTCCCGGCTTCCATGCATGCTGATGGCTTCCCCTCCAGCAGGGGATCCCCTTCTGTTCTGAAGCCTTGGCCCATAAAGGGTGCCAACTGAGGGCATCTCTTGGGGTGGAAGGGTATCTCATCCTTCAGCCAATGAAGACTCAAAGGAAGGAGAGACAACCTGTGGAGCCTTACCCACCTTGTTCCCATAGTGACCCAGCTCAGGTCACACGCATTGTCTTCACCTGGAGGAGGGTCCGACCTAAGGAAACCAGTGAGGGTGCATGGTTGTTGACCTTGTTCCGCACCAGAACTCGCATAGGGCAGGGTTTCTTGATCTAGGCGCTGCTGACATTGGACCGGATCTCTGAGGTGGGGTCATCCTGGACACTGTGGGGTGTTGAGCAGCATCAGTGGCCTCTACCTACTTGATGCCAGAAGCACCCCGAGTCATGACAACCACAGACACCCCCACTGTCCAGCTGAGAACTGCTGCTCTGGGACAAGCTCAGTGCCGGGGCACCAGCTGGGCAGCATCACAGGCTGGTTATGCCTGGTCCAGCTTCTAGTCCAGAGGATCACAAGGACACTGTGAGCTGTCTCCGGCAGCATGCCTGTGAGTGTGACTATAAAAGGATATGCTTTTGTTGTATTTGACCTGAATGGTGGTGCTACGCAAACTCAAGTTTGAAGACCATTGTGCTAGATTAAAGGGAGAGATGGGAGTGCACGCGCAGATGGCTGGGCGTCCAAGCCATTATGCCTTGATGTAATTCAGAGGCTGTGGTGGGAGATCTCAGGTGTTCTGCATGCCTACAGGATGATACCCACTGGTATTTTCTTTTGTTTTGTTTTAAGGCACAGACAGCAAGTTTATTTGGTGAATGCTGATGGCAAACATCATCCAAGAGATACAAGCTGGGGAAAGTGCTGTGACAAGAGAGCCTAGGAAGCCTCCGGGGCTGCACACTCAGTCTCACACAGGGAAGGCACAGGGGAATGTCTTCAGCTGTTCAGCACCATGCGGACGAGCTCTTCGTAGCTGACACAACGGTTGCTGTCCTTGTGCCCAGCCACCAGCATCTCTACTTCTTCCTCTATTGTTCTCACCCAGAGTGACAAGAGCATGTCAGATCTCAGCATCCATGACAGTGGCATTCCCTTCCTTGTCAAACACCCTAAGGCCTTCAACATACTCCCCATAGATGCCCTGGTCCTTGTTCTTGGCCAGTCTGCAGCACCGGCAGGAAGTGCTCGAAGTCCAACACCTTCGCATTCATCTCATCACTCTTGGGGTTCCCCAGGACTTTGAGTACCTCGGTGTTGGTGGGGTCCTAACCCAGCTCTCACCACGGCCCCACACTGGCTGTGCAGGATCTTGCCCTCTCCTGTTTACTCAAACAGCTGGAAGGCTTCCTTGAACTCCACGGTCTTGTCCTCAGTCAAGTCAAACATCTTGACTGCTCAGCTCTGCCAAAACTTTTCCTGTAGTAATGGCCCCCATTGGCGGTATCATGAAATGTTTCAGCTGTGGGAAGACTGGTCAGCTGTGAAGAGTACAGGGTCAAGGTCAACATCAGCTTTCAATTCAATGTGGGACAGGGAATGCCCTTGAACTCACCATCTGTGGTAGTGGAGCACCTCTCCAGTGCAAACAGTTGAGATGGTGTGAGGAAGGAGGATGGACTTGCCGACAGCCCAGCAGGTAACAGGAGTACCTCAGTCCCTGAGGCAGGGAGGGTGATTGGGGGGAGGGGGCTCAAACTGGGCCAAGAGAAGGGCGTGGCACAGACACTGGAATGGGAGACAGGCACGAGGCTGACAGGGAAACTGTCCTGTGTGCTGAGGGACAGAGGATGTGTGGGGTAACAAAAAGGCTGGAGGGTGGGCTCTCAACTGCCAGACAGAATCCAGGTTTTATCCAGTAAGCAACGGGGAGTCACCAAGGGAACCCTTGCCAAGATCTGACCTGTTTTAGGATGCTAAGGTGGTTCTGTAAACTAAATTGTGTGCACCACCTCCCCTCCCCCTAAATTCACTGAAGCCCTAATTCCCAATGTATTTGGAGATGGGACCTTCAAAGAGGTAAAATAAAATGAAGTCATAAGTGTGGGGCCCTAATCCTATAGGACGGGTGTCTTTTAGGATTGTACACACCAAGGTTGTGCACACAGTGGGAAGGCCACATGAGGACACAGTGAGAAGGCACCCATTTGCAAGCTGAGGAGAGAAGGTTCAAGAGAAACCAATCCTGCCAGAACCTTGATCTTGAACTTCCAACCTCCAGAACTGGGAGAAATTTATTGTTTAAGCCACCCAGTCTGTGATAGTTTGTTATGGAGACCATGCTGATTAATACAGGCTGTGATGGCTATTGAGGGGAGAAGCTGAGGGCAAGGACTGCTAGAAGACATGAGACATGCATGGGCCTCAATCAGAGTGGTGGAAATGGGAAGAGAATGCAGGAGGCATCATATCACCTGAGAAGTTTAAAGCTAAAGCTGACTCCCAGCAATCTGGGGCTTTGCATAGCAGTCAAGTGTAGTAAATGTTTGATGACAATGATCAAAATGGTGGTTGTGACCTAAAAAGGTCACAACCTTATCCTAATTGCTCATGACCCCACGGCGCCACCAACACACAGCTGTTTGTGGCCTGGGAGGGTAGTGTCACTTCCCTTTTATTTAGCTAAGCAAGCTCTCCCAGGAAGTGGAGCATGGACTGTTTCTTGAATTGGGGGAGTGCATGTACCGAGGGTCTCACACCCATTGTCAGGAGAGAGCTTGGCATGAAGAAGCCCAGATGAAAGGGATAAAGAGAGAAATGGTTTTAAAACACAGTTTGGGAAAATACAGCTACACACTTCGTCTTCTCTGTGTCCTAGCATGGCTGAAGGGGCAAGGGAATTCTCTAGGGTCTCTTTTATAAAGGCACTAATCACATTCATAGGGGCCCCACCCTCATATGGCCTAATCATCTCTCAAGATTCCACCTCTTAGTGTTGTAGGCAGTTACCAGACAGACAGGAACAGAGCATGGAGGATGGGCCAGGTACAAAAACTCATCGGGGGGAAAGCCCCAGATGCCTAGCAAGGGGCAAAACTGGGAAAACAAGAACCTCACCCCCATGATAACCGTTCCCCCCCTAACATATTGCTGGTCATGCGGTTTGGACTCCCTGA